CTAAAAACTGGCTAAAATACAAACGGGGAAGCTTTTTGGACTGTAAGCTGAGCATTACGAAATTTGTTTTACTGTATCCGTTGAATTTCCAACATTCGCACTCTTCAAGATCGTGCCGTACGGCGTGCATATGATTTTATAGCAATGCCCAGCTTGACGAACGGCGACGTGGGTAACATCGATACATTTCTCTTCACCTCAGAATCCGTTGGTGAGGGTCATCCAGGTAAAAATGCGCCATACTTCTATTCTCAGATAAATTATGCGACCAAATTAGTGATGCAATTCTGGATGAATTTCTGCGACAAGATCCGGAAGCCAAAGTGGCCTGTGGTAAGTGCATCCATTGGTGTTCTCCATTCCCGCAGAAACTTTTACCAAAACTGGAATGATCCTTGTCGGTGGAGAAATATCCTCAACGGCTGCTGTTGATTTGCCCACTGTCATCCGGAGGGTTGTACGTGGTATTGGGTACGACGATCCCAAGAAAGGCTTGGATTACAAGTCTTGCAATATTCTTACGGCGATCGAACAGCAGAGTCCTGACATTGCGGATGGTGTACACAAAGGCCGAAAAGCTGAGGAAATAGGAGCGGGCGATCAGGTTAGAATCCGGTGTTTTTAGGTCTTTCGTTGCTTGATTGGATTTATAAGTCTTAACACCCTTAAGTTGCATGTATTCAAATNATTTATCTATTTAATTAAAAATCCTGGCTTCTGTCATTGTCGATAAGAATCACTTAATTCCGGTTGTTGCTGTCTTTCAAGTGGAGTTCAAATTATGTTCCTGGCCTATTTTTCTCGAAAGTTTGTTATATTAGTGGACTAATCTTTCTGACATGGACTCAGGACTTCTCCACATTGTGCAGCATCACCCACTCTCCCTCAAAAGAAGGGTGATGAAGCTATTGAAGTCCTTTTCAAGAACGCATTAGTCTTTGGATTTTGAGCTACTCTCCACCGCCGAGCATCGGTGGTTGGCGAATTCGTTGTTTGGCTCATGAAGACGCCACTGGTTTGCCACTCCCCGCCCCGGGGCTCAGATTGCCGGTCCTCGTGACCATAGGATTCTCCCCACTTGCTATTTGTCATAAGTTCAAATTGGACAGAATCTTCCAAGTACTTTCCGGTATGCCAGGTAGTTGGTTTCTCCTTCATCCACATCATCATGCGTGCCGTCGTCTACAGCCGACTACAACTTACTCTTGATCGACGAACTCCTGCGGGAGGATAAGTCGGCTTCCTGGATGTCCAATGATGGCGGCCCCGTGCATGACGATCGGTAGCAAGATCGACGCAGTTAGAAACTCAGTTCTGGTTCCAGTTGTGAATACCATATGCGGATCGGAGACCCAGTAATTCCAAATCTGCTTTGATCGTACTACTCCAGGTCTTCAGTTGACCACCGAGTCGGCAACGTCATCCACGGCACGGTGCGGGGCTACAGCGTGTCGCGAGTGTCTGGTCTTTGCAGCACATGGCCAAACCACTGAAGGCACCGGCGTTGTAGCATTTTGGGAAGCATGTCACTGTTCAAGCGGCGCCGTCGAACCTCATCATTGGAAATCCGATCTCTCCAATTTGCTTTCAAGATACGGCGTAAGCACCGATAATCAAAACCTTCGAGCTTCCTTGAATCTTGTACTCTTAGCAGCCAGGTTTCACAACCGTGAGGATGACCCGGATGGAAGCCTGACAAACCCGAAGCTTAGTGTTTGAGCTTATTTCGCGTTGATTCCACAACGGTTTGATGAGTTGTAGGAAACCTCCATCTACACAGTTGGATTTCATCCTTAGCCAGGCCGTTTGTTCTTATCGTAGAGACAAGATACTTGAAAACTTCGGTTGATTCGACAAGCTCCCCGTTAATCGAATGGATGTGTCATGGTAGAAGTTTCGGCCGAAAATGTCTTCGTTTTCGACTGCCCCTATCAGTTGTTCATCCTTGTGATTTCAAGAAATCGGTGTGAAATATTTTCGGTTATAGCAGCTGCCTTTTGTGGAGGGTTCTGCCTGGTAATCCATGCATTTACCCACTCGACGGAAACTTGAGCATGTCTGCTCGATGATATTTATTCTTTTTGGAATCGCGTTGCCAGTGTCATCGTCATCATCGTAGAGCGCAATTAAGTGAAATGAACTTCACTGATCGCTGCCCGACTCATGCACATAAAAAAGTGAGATGTACAGAGGATAAGGATTGGGCCTACTTTTAGGGGCCGAGGGAAGAACACAGTCTACAATCTGTGCATAAGCGCTGTTTTAGGCATTGCGGTCTGACAAGAGGTGTCAGCAAGATCGCCACTGCTGTCGGTCTACTGTCATGACTTCCGGTGTCCCTAGCCATCGATTAACGGAGTCCTGTACCCGAACTCGGAAAACGAGACACTTATTCTACCTAATCACTGCATTTCTTCACGTCGTCCACTGGCTTCACTCGACTTTTCCGGTTTGCAGCGGCCAGTGCG